TTCCATTTTTAAGACAATGAGAGCAAAATTGTCTAATTATTATTCAAAATTAACTTAACATCCCTTATATTCGGGGACAAAAAAATATTCTAAAAAACACCTTATATGTAAGAATAAAGGGAGTATATATATATATATATATGGCATTGTGATAGAAATACATTATTGAAAATATAAATTTATAAAGTACTCAAAAAAAAAAAACAATATTATAACCAAGTCAATGGGATATGCATGGGATGCAGTTTTTTTTTTTTGGCCCCTGAATGACGGGTGGTCATCTTATTTTCAGAATTTTCAATTTAAAGCTATATTATCTTTATATCTATGTATTTAAAAATATAATGTTTTATCATATAAATGATATTTACCATAAAAGAAAGTATATAAGAAATCAAACACCAATTATCATATTCCGTATTAAATATATTCTTATAGTTTTAGACGTAAAATATAATTTTTATTAAAAATAAAAATTTATTTTTCTTTGGCAAGAAATAAGAAGTTATTTTTTAAATAATACCAATCATTAAACTGAATTAACCGAATGATCAAGATGCATTTTAAATAATCATGATTTTTTAGCTTAAAGTTAAAACTGAGAATAGTCCGATATAAAAGGAAAGGACGGAGCATTTAGTTCTGGACAATATTATCTGACATATATTTTTAAGGGATATACTGCTTCCACTTCAGTTTATAAACCTTAAATAATTCGAAATCCTTTTTACGCCTTCTGTAATTTAATGCAGATATTGATTTGAAAGTTATATACATTCTCATCAAGTCTGAGAAAATATCATAATAAATTGATGAATCTTTGGCATAAATTCTCATAATTAAGTTTCCACTAAATCCAAATAAGCTACATCAGTGGCATAGAATTGATTTTTTTTTTTTTTTTCCATATCTTCCAATCATCAATGCTCTTTAATTCTCCTTCATTTCTTTGGATTCGTCCAACATGTCACTACCTATAATTTATATTTTTCCTGAATATGATCTATGTTTCTGATTTAGATTTTCTTTTGCCAACATTCTGATTTAGATTTTGTGTATTTAGTGAATGAATATATTATTTGTATCATCATGATATAGTACAAATTCTATATCAACTTATATTATTTATGTTTATATATAGTGTGATTGATTCATCAGATTTTGTACCAACAGTGAAAACAAAATGTCTGGTTTAAAAATAAATAAAACAGAAGTTAGTATTATATTACACCAGACCTTCCTATATTTTCATATTCATACAAACAGAACAGAGAGTTGAACCCAAAACACATATAATTATAACGATCTTGTCTTTTTATATATATATAAGGATCTTGTCTTTATCTCTTACATATTTTTATTCATTTATATCAATCTGCTTTTAAATGTAGGTGCATTATTACAGAAAAATTTAACCTTAAAATTCGTAGCTCACATAGTGAAAGCCATTTATTATAAGTTTAATTATTTTTAACTTAATATTTTTTTTCCAACAACAATTCTCAAATTAGATCCATCAGTTTTCAAATATGCCTCTTCCTTTTTCATTAAGTATTCTATCAATGGAATTTGATATGTGTATATATGGTTTTGTGTATATAAATACACAAATATTCTTACCATATTAGTCTTTGGATCCCTTCTCTCCTAATATGATCAACCCACAAATGGGTTATTCTTTTTTTTTTTTTATTAGTCTCATTGTGAGCTGTGATCTCTGACCAGATAATAATGGTGGGATATATGGTCTTTATAATAAGTAAAGATTACAACTTCATGACCCATGTGATAGTCAATAATTTTCTATTTAAATACATGTGGATATGCGTGAGTATTGGCTTTGTCAAAGATTTCTGAGTATATGAAGAGATAGTCAAAATATAAATACATATAATTGGTTCTTTTGGAAAGATTTTGTTTTAAAATAGAAAAGTAGAAATTAAGGGGGTAATACATATTAGACAAATCTTTGATTTTTTTGCATATTAAGAAGGCTTTTGAGGCATAGATAGTTGCCTTATATAGGCGTAATTGATTCATCTTATTGAATATAAGATTATATTTTTAAATACATAGATATAAAAGATAATATAGCTTTAAATTGAAAATTCTAAAAATAAGATGACCATCCGTCATTCAGGGGGCCCAAAAAATTACGTGCTTGTTTGTTTGCAAGACTCTGTTATCCTCTAATTAGAACAGCGATAATCAAAACCAATAGAGATAAAATAAGGTTTTTGTTTGGAATATTGTTGCCTTGTTATGTTTGTCAATGGTACGAAAATTTATCGATCTAAATTATTTAATAAATGAATAATATTTTTATGAAATTTTTCTCAAATTAAATTGAAATGTTATCTTTTTTCTAAAAAGTATAAAAGCTCATAAAATTAAAGCTAATGCATTTTATGTCTAGATGCATATAATATTAGTAGGAATTATATGCTTAATCTTATATACTTGATATATTTTTATCTAATCAAATCAAGACATGTGGATTTAAATATGTTAATAATATTAATAACAAGAATTTTTTATGGATTAAATAATATATAAAACCTACACATGTCTTGATTTGATTGAAAATAAGTATCTTAAGCATATAATGCTAAGTCTATAATTTTTCCCTTCAAATATTTAGACTTGTTTTTTAGACTCCATAAGTTGGGGTGGAAAGAGGTTAAGCCTCTAACAGGAGCTTACAGCCTAGCGTATTTTAGACCTAACTTAACCTATTTAATAAATAAGTTCAGACCATATTCAAATTTATATTTAGACCTATTTAGTTAAACACACACACACACACACACAAGCATATTAGAATTATATATTAATTTTAATGTTGTTACTTTATTGTTATATTGTATTATATTTAGTAAATTCTTTCAATTATATATATTATAATTGATAAAACAAGTTATATGTTGTATTTTATAATAGTCCTACAATATATTTGAAACATTTAAAACTAAAATGCTAGAATATTTAAAGGTCTTACTTTTAATAGGCTTTTAGGTTAGGCCAGACTTTAGGTAGGCTCAGACTTAAGTTTTATAAAAAGTCTTATATAAGCTTCAGGCTAGGTTCAAACTTTTAATTTATCACACAGGCTCAGGCTTATTTGATTAAAGTCTAACTCGACCTAGCCTATTTCCACTCCTATCCATAAGTACTAGTACGCATGTTTAAATGACATAATTAATTCACTGGTATATTCTATGAAAAAAATACTAATTAATAGTTATCATGATATTGAATTTATTTTACACCAACACGGAATATCATATTTATTGGTGTATATGATACCGTTATTAAATATAGATGTCACATTTCTTTATATATACTTTCTTTAACATAGAGGTAATTATAGGGCATATTATTATTTTTTATCATAAGTTTTTTATCCCTTATTAAATATTGATGTACATTATTAAAATTATCTTGGTCTTCTCATTCATTCCTTCATTAATAGGAGTAAAATTGCAAATTTATTATTATATTTTTAGATAGAATTAATGAGTTTTAAAATTTTTATTAGTTCCGGTAAAATACGTTAAAAATAACTTATAAGTAAAATCTGAGGAACCATTTTTTATGTTGAATTGGCCATCTAATTAACCTACCCAGTATTATAAATATGAATCATAATGCACGAAATGAGAGTAGACTTTTTGCACATTTAATTTTCTCTCACAAATAAATGTATATACAGAATATTCATACATTGGTTTTCTAAGAAAATCAGACACAATTATGATTTTCTACAGAGAAAAAAACAATAAAATATAAATGAAATGCATTAACCCCCAATGCCATTAGTATACTTCATCTGTTTCAAAATATTTTCCTTTCTAGAAATTTTTTTTGAAATTATTTAATTATTTAGACTTCCAATGTCCTATATTTATTAGTGATATATATATATATATATATTATTCTATCTTTAAAGACATTAAAGTACTATAAGTACATTATTAGTACATTAATAAGATATACTCCACATACATGAAGAGCAAATTTAGTAAATCATTTTTTATTTATTAAATACATTTTTTAATCTGTGTACAATAATTTTGAAAGACAAATATTTTGAAAGAGACAGTATTAATTAAATAGATAAATTCTCGAGAAATCTTTCATTTTGATGCATGACCGAAGATTTGGCAGTGTGTTTGGAGCCGAGTAAGAATGCGATTTTCCCAGATGCCAAACGGACTCTTAACTCTAAATGTAATAAATAATAAAAGAAATGAAAGTAAATAGTAAAAGTTTGACCAGAGACAAATTAAGTTTCCACAAGGACAGAAAATAAATAATAAATGAGTTTAAATTCAAGTCCGTGGGCCCCACAATAGTAGGAATAGCGTGTGTGTGTATGCATATAAATTGCATGCAATAGTATTAATTACTGGGCGAGGAAAATGAAACTTCTTTGTTAAAAATAGCAAAGATTTTCATTTTTCACTGATTCTTAGACGCTACCCTCAAGAGTAGAACTCTCAGAGTGGATCTTAAAAGTCTTGTTTTCCCAGAGAAAGCAAAATCGAGTTAGAAAAACAAGCGCGAGAAATGCGAGAAAGCGAGAAAGATTCTGATGGGCATGCTTGGATTTCCGGGCTTTGAAACACTCTTTTCTCTCTCACGTTTTTTTTTTTTTTTCTCTCGGACAAAATCATAAGGGTCTGAGAAAATCCCGGAAAACGCATTTAGATCATTAGATACCTTCTTCAGCTTCACTCTCACTCAAGATTTTCCTTTTCAACCTTTTCTCTCTTCTTCATTGGCCATTTCATATCGATCTTCTTCACTCTCATAATTTCCCATCCACAAATCCTGGAATAATAACTTTTCATCACTATTTTATCTCCAAACTGGTCTGTGTTTTTGAACTTCCCTTCGATTTGGGCGCTGGATTTTCAGATCTGGATTTGAATTCAAACGAAACAGACAAGAAGATTCAGGTACAGATAGAGAAACAGCAAACGGTCTATAGATAGATCATGTTTAGCAGTAGTAGTAGCAGAGGTGGTGGTGGTGGTGGCGGTGGCATTGGCGGAGGTGGCGGTGGCGGAGGCGGCGGGTGTGGTTGTGGGAGTAACGGCAACGGCGGTGGTTCTGGGGTTTGGAGTTCGGGGATTAAGAAACAGCAGAAACGGCCAAAAGTTCCAAAAAGAGGACCTGGTGTGGCTGAACTGGAAAAGATCTTGAGAGAGCAAGAAAAGTCAGACAGAGGTATTAATATTAATAATATTAGTAGTAACAGTACTAATAATGCAGAAGGATTTCCAGTTTCACCTTCTTGTTTCAATCTTCATCACCATTCATCTCCACCATTGAAGCCCCACTGCCCTCCTCCACCACCACCACCTGTTCCGGTGACGGCGGCGACATCTTGTCCTCCTCCTCCTCCTCCTCCTCCTCACATCCCCATAGCCCCAAGATTTGACCACTTAAGCCAACCTCCACCTCCTCCCATGGCTGCTCTCTATGGCTATAACACAGCTACACAAGGAAGGAATTTTCCAGAACAGTCTCTATTTCCTATGAATCCCAGTTCTTGTGATGGATTATCCCATCCTGATCATCATCATCACTCTGCAAATCCATCTTCCAAGAATTTTTGCAGTGAATCAAGTAACAATCATCTTTGGCCTTACTCAGCCTTGCCTCAAAAGAGACACTGTAATAATCGGTACCATACTTCCATGGTAAGAATTCTAGCAAGCTAGCTCCATTCATGTTTGATTTATTAAACATTGTGTTCTGATTTATTCTTAATCTCGGTGGATCTAATGTTCTTGCAGATGAGACAGGTTTTAGGCCCTACTGCACCACCACCTTCTTCGAGCTTATTACCAGCAGGCCTGCATAATCATGAGCCCCCTTCAAACCAAAGTTCTTACTTCAATTGCACATCTAGGAACGTTAACCCAGAGGAACCTAAGGTGACTGCTTCTGCTTCATACCTAATTCAATTATATGTTTAAGATAAATTCAAGGTCTAATCTAATGTTGTGATCCAATGTTATACAGACTATGTGTATTATAGAGATTATCGATTACTTAATTGAATCATCTTATAATACCAATCCTTTTGGACAAAAGTTCTATGGAGGACTTTCATCTCTGGAACTTTTATTCAGTTAATTAATTTAGACACACGTGAGTTAGCGTGATCATTAGTACGTTCATTCTAATTAATTAAAAAAGTTATACAAATGGGCACGCGATGCGCGTGATTATGCATTTGGTCTCCAGCAAGGTTCATTTCCTTTCTTTGTTTCTGATTCTAAGTCTCAGAAAGGAAGGAATGACCAGCTTGTAACTGAATTTGATGTTAATTTCATTCGTGATTCTCTTTGACTTTGATATTTCAGTTATGAAAACCAGCCGTTTCTGACAGAAGCATGTGAAAATGTGCCCAATATATATATATATATATATATGAGTTTCCCAGAATATTTCTCAGCAAGAATAGTTTTAAAGTATATTGATAAAAAATTCATGGGGGATAACTTTCCGTCTTGTGTGTCTGCTGCAGATGGTTGGTCTGAAGAGGCCTCACCCTTCTTCATCATTTGAAAACTCTCTGGTTCCTTCATCCACCTTCCAAGTTTCACCAATTTTCTCAAACTTTACCAGACCACACAAGTCATCTAATTCAAATGACACTCACATTACTTCAAGCAACTTCAATTCCTCTAACAATGAGTGCTTCAGGTTGGTGTTCTCCTTCATTATATATTCAATTCATCATCTCTCTTCAATATCAGATTGATATGTTAATTTGATTATTGTTTTGTAGTTATATATATATATATATATATATTCACATTTTATTCATTTCTCAGGGATGTCAAATGGGGTGGTCCTTTGGGATATAGCAGCAGAAAGTTTGGTTCTGATAGTAATGGAGGATTAGGTCATCATTCAAACTTTTCTTCATTCAATGGCACTGCTGCTGCTAGTCCACCGGTTCCTTCACCTTCCATGCTTATGTTTCAAAGAGAATCATGCAAGAACAATAATGCTCTCCCCAATTACCAAGTTCTTGAAGTAAGTTCGATTCTTTTGATTTCCACATTTCAAATTTCAATCACATTATGTAGAGAAAAATAGAAGTTATATTAGACAGATGGATACATATCATCTTTAACTGTACATGGCTTTTGACAAGCGAGATAAAGGACAGTGACGGGTCCTTCTAGGCTAAGTTTCTCCCCTGGTCCCTCTCCTTATGTCCCAATTCTACCACTCTCTTTTTATCTCTCTTCAGTTGATAAAATAATGATTTTCAAAAGTAATTTTAAGTGAAACGAGCGTAGAAAGATAATTGTAAGTCTCACTGACATGTGAGTCTTGTATAAGTGGAGCCCACCATTCATCTAACGTTCTTTTAAGAGATTTAAGTTTTGAAAAAATTGTAGAAAAGGACCTTATCGCTAAGTTAATTGAAAAATGGACTAAATTCAATATCTGTAAATTTTCTTTTACAATTTGGAATTTATTGTTATGATTTTGCAAATTTTCTTCCTTATTATATAATTTTGGTCTTTTCCCCCAATTAATTTAGTGATTATTTCCTTTTCCCTAATTTTCTCCTAAATGTTGAGCTAAAGAACTCATTCAAATAACTTAATATTTAAGGGGGTCTCATAATTTTTTTTTTTAAAAGCTTATCTTCATTTCCTTTGTTTGATTTATTGAGCCTGGTCTAACGATATTTCAAGGACTACTCATTGATGTTTAGTTTCCTGATAATGGTTTTCTCTGTGTTGTGTGAAATTTTGCAGGAGAGAATGGAGGACTCTTATCAAAGGTCAGAATCATCAAGTGGATCAGACCAGCGACCTTTCTATAACTTTTTAGAAGTGAAAGAAGTAGGCATGAAAGAAAATACACTTGGATCAAACCATAAGGGATCTGAAGTAGGAATTGATGGCCCTGATCTTACCTTAAAGCTTTGGTAACAGCTGCGGCGGCCGGAGGCGATGACAATGATGAATGTGTATTCACATTTCTCAAATCTCTGGTTTAGATGAGGATGATAAATTGGTTTCTCAGACTCAAAAACAATGTTATGTTTTTATGTATGTCAACAAGCTAGTGAAGAAGTACAAAAACAAAATATAATTAATGATTTAGGAGAGTATTTTATGTGAAAGATGAAGTGAACTTAGCCTGAAGAATTGGTTAGATTAATTGTTAGCTAGCTAGCTAGCTTAGCTTTTATTAGTTTGAATCAATTTGATGGTTGAGTTTTAATTTAGAGATCCTCTTTTCCAAATAGGTTGAAATTTAAGATTTAATTTTAGTTGCTTTAATTTAAATGAAGAAAGAAAATCAGTTTCAATTTATTATTTGGGTTTTGTTATTAATTGATGCTAGCTTGATAATATATTTTGGTCCCCCTTGGTATTATAAATCAATATCAATCATCAATGATTAATAACGGATTAAAGTATAAATATATTCTCAATTTTTATGGAAGCGCATTTATATCCTAAAATATTTAAAATTATAATATTGTCTTGATGTTTCGAAACCTTGCAATGTCATCCCGACTTAACTGAAGAGATGGCCCTTCGCAATGACGTCACATGATGTGAGGTGACTGCCAATTTGCCTTCTATTTATTTTCTACACTTTTTTGACTTTTCAACCACAACCTCATGGCAGCTTAGTTCCCTGTTTGCAAACCTATTTTTAAATAGTTTTTATTTTACAGAATAAAAAAAATAAAAAAATATATTTGATAATATATTTTTTAAAAAATATTTTAAAAAATTAAATATTATTCTGAAGAATATAAAAATAAAAATAACTTTTAAATATTATGAAATTATTATTCTGAAAAATAAGGAAGAATAAAAAAATATTATTTTTATTATTTTTTATTCTCAACATGTTTTATAAAACACTAATTTTTAAAATAATAAAATAAAAATAATTTCAAACAGTCCCTTAATCTCCTTCTAAACCAATCAAATATCTTGCTCCCTTCTTTCTCACGACATGCAGGCAAAAAAGGATCATGAGCTTATTGGATAAATTCAAAAATATATTTAAACTATACTTAAATGTATTTTTATCAAAGCTAATAAATAGTTAGATCTTAATTTTAAATATATTTTTATCAGTTGTAAACTAAAATACAAAGGAGCATGAAACCTTGTGCATGCATCATCATGTGTAAATGTACTTCTTTCGATCCCTTTTATAAATCACATTTTAAAATATTCATTTAGTCCCATTTATAAGTTACAGTACGATTTTTTGGTAGTATTTAAAAGATATTTTTAAAATTACCTTTCATGAAAGAAAAAAAGTAACAAGACATTAATTTTTTAATTTGTTATATAAAGACATATTTAAAATTCCTACATATTTTTATTTTTTTTACTTTTTTTTGCATAATATTGTTGAGGTTGGTAAAAAAGATTTATAAAAAAAGACCAGAACAGTAATACGCAAACCTAGATCACAAAAAGATAAGAAGAATCAACAAAACTCTGAATGCATACCCATGGTATTATGTTGAGTTTACCGATGAACACCCGAATTCATCAACTAGAAGAAACGAAGACTCATTGCAAAATAATAATAATAATAATAATAATAATAATAATAATAATAATAATAAATAATTGCAAGAAACCCATTTTGAGTTTCATCCCTCATCTGTCTTCATCCCTTATCGTCCCCTGAACATTTACAGATAGAGAAATTACATTCTCAACACAAAGAAAATTTAGTTCCACATTTGACAACAAATAAACAAATCAAATCAAAACTTTCTTTAAGCTAGAGAAGATGAAAGGACGCCCATAAAATCACTCCATTGTCACAAGGGAACAAGAGTATAGCAGAGAATGATGGCAGAGGTTGAAGACAGTGGCCTTTCACATTGAGAGAAACCAAAAATCAACATCATCAATGGATATTTTTGAGGGAGACAGTAACAACAAATCATCCACATTGTGCCATTTTGAAAAATGTCGGCACGACTTATGCCTTCAAATATTTAGGATGTCAGATGTGCCTTCATGAAAACCTCAGGGGCAAATTTATTATTTAACCCATTAATAAATATAATAAAGTTCATTGAATTGATATTTTAAACTACGATCTCATAAATTTTAATGTATTGTTAACAAGCGTTTGCGCCAATCTAAGGTACAAATAACATGATCCAAAATTCATTCATCTCTAATTCATACTCCCTTCGGAAATGTTTATAAAGTTCTTGAGGCAAAAAAATTGATCAAGGCATCATATATGATATTTACTCGGCAGAATGGTATGAATAAATTTGTTAACATGTCTTTGGATGCGATTTTCCCTATTTAATATCACATCTTTCCCATCTTAATATTTTTAAATTTAATTTATTTTATCAAAATTACACTATATGGGTTTAAATAAGTGTGATGTTTTTAAACTTTCATAGAAAGAGTTAATAAATTTAAGCCTCTCTTTTGGTCAAGTGGTGACATTGGAAGTGTCTTATAAAAAAAAAATTAGGGGAAGGGATGGAAATAGATTGTAGGAATTTTCTCACAATTTCTGTAATAACCTTAAATTTTAAATTAAATAAAAAATATTTTAAATAGATATTTTATTTAAATAAATTTATAGTAAGTAGAAATTGATAGTTTAGAGGAACTCATGCTAGAAATTCTCTTGAGAATCTAAAGTCTAAATTTTTTTAAATAAAAGTTTAATTTTAAAATTGTAGGAAAATTTCATGTCCTTTCTTGTAATATTATTGTGTCTTTTCTTGTGATTTTTTCGTACTCATTCTTGTAATTTTTTTCAAACTCCTTTTGATCAGTTTTACTTTCTCAAGCGAAACTAAAAAATGGAGATTTTTTTTCAGTTCTCCATTGCCATTATACACTCTTCTATACACTCTTAGTCAGTTCATTTCCTTGACTCTCATAAACCTTCTTAGTTCGCTGTGGTAGGAGATCGTTTTTGTTGCTGTTGCTTCATCCTTTTCATTCACGTTTTCAGCCACGTTAAAGGTCAGTTGCTGACTTCCTTTCCCTGTCTTCGTGATGATCTGTGTCAACATGATCCGTGAGGTGTGTGCCAGCTACTATTTTTGTGTTTTTGTCATTGAGAGAGAGAGAGAGAGAGCATAGAGTTGCTGAATTTCTTAGTTTGTCGTTCCCTAATGCTGTCTCTATTCTAAGTTGATAGCCATGCATGTGTTCATTTTCAACATCGACTGCAATCTTCTAGGTGTCTGAATAGCAATGTCTTTCCCTCTCAGCTCCTGTTCTTCTATTGCCATCGTTGGAGGTGTGGGTGATTGGAAACTTACAGTCTTGCTTCTCCTCATTCGTGTGTCACTGTGGGCGCAGCTGTTGGTGCGTGAATTCTTCCTTCCTCTATTTCGGTCCACTTCTTCCTCTTGCTCTTTCTTATCGTTACAGGTTCATGTCTGAAGGTTTAAACTCCTTGTTATTAATTTGGTATGTGGGCATTTTAATAGTTAAAATTGCTAATTGTGGCCTCTCTTTGCTGAATGTATGTGTGTGGGTCAGAACTAATAGCTATAAAACAAAATTGATTATTTTCCTCTATTTCTATGGTTGTGTGACTACATGAATAAGCTGGATTTGTTGGAATATTGGTGTTGTAGAATGTTGGGAGACATTTGGGGAGAGATTTGAAGAGAAAGAATTTAGTGTTAAAACTTGAAAGTTTATGCATATGGAGTGTTTGTGGATAGAATGTCCATTAAAGTTATGGTGAGAAACATGATTCATTTAATACTATTTAGTTGAGTTTAACTTGAAATTGGCAAAGGAATTTGATTATGAAAATATCTTTTTGTGGTTATATGGTTATTGAAAAATTTAATGAATAATTGAAGAGTTTGAATGTTAATTTCATTTACTTATTAAGAACAGAAATCATAATGACATAAAATGTGTTGGTTTACATGTTATATTAATTTAGAGTATCATTGAATTAAGCAAGAAATTGACGGACTCTGACTATAAAATTTCTAAAAACTCATGTGAGTGGGTGGTTTCAAATATATTTCAATAAAGTGTTTATAAAAATTTCTTTATTTAAATATTATTATATTGCTTTATAAATTGTTTACATACTCTTGTTAATACTATTTTCATATTAATGGTATTATTTCTCATATGCAATTTAATTATTTAATTCAATATGATGTCAAATTTTATATAATAATTTGTGTATGGGAAAATGATGATATTTTGAGCAATGAAAAATGATAGTTGAATAACATTGAAAGTGAGAATTTTGAAACCATTTTTTCTTCTTCATACACACTTGATTTAATGAGAGGAACTGAGTTTAGAATGCTGAATGCTAATGACAATTCCATTAGCCCTTGGCGTGCCATGGTACACCTAGCTAGCAGAGTGCATATGGGAGGTGCTAGTCCTGTGCGCAAGCCAATGCACATGAAATGGAAGGATGATTATTCATGAGCATTGTACTTATGCTTGTTCATGGGCCTCATGCTTACGCTTGACTCGTGGCTCTAGCAGTGCTTGTTTCACAGGCTTTCACCTGTGTTTAATTGGTTACTTATTCTCGTGGACTGTATGTCAATGCTTGGTTAGTTACCCTCATGAACTGTGTGGTCACACTTGCTATTTGTTTTGATAAAGCCCTCCTAGATCTAAACTTAAAATTCATTTTTTTATATTATTTCTTTAAAAGCATTTTACCTAGTCATACCTTACTTGAATATTTTATATCTATGAACCTTATAAATTTTGATAATTACTTTGTCCTATTAAAATTGTTCAAATTCATACTTGTTACATTAATAAAACTTATTGTTTATTATTACTAGTTTAAGTTCATGTTTCATTATTTCAAAATTTTTAAAATTAAATTTATTCATTAATGTCTTCATAAATTTTTACATATATTATATATAGATATATTTTGAAACATACTCACTGGTAATTTCTTTAATTTCAGATAACATAGATTGCTACACCTCCAGCAGATCATTTAAAGGCCTTTTATCTTTTTTTGAAAAAGAGAAGACATATTGCGGTTATTGTTTTGGTAAAACTATGTATTGTATTTTA